AGAATATTTGAACAGAGGCATGGAGCTCCCAGCTTCAACACAAACCTTTTAATTAAAGGAAATAATTAAGAAGGCTTCTTATTTACCTTCTCAAACTTTAAAATTAATTAGCACGATACTGCGGAACAAAATATTTTTATTAAATTTAATTTATATGCTACCATACCCAGAACGAAATAATTTTTCTTTTACTTAAAGAATTATTTTCGTACATTGAATACGTTAGTATGAATGATGAAAGTATCTAAATAAGTTTATAAATGTACTTAAATAAGTAAAGTATCTCTCCAATCAAAATATATATAAAACATCTGATTTGTAATCCCTCTCCTAGAGATAATAATCCAGGCATATGTATAAATTCATGTAACATCGGATATGACATATTTTTGTTTAAAATACCTATTTTTGTTTGGAAAGGGAGAATATATTTGAAATTATGATAAATTACATATATTTATAGTAGTATCAATGAAAATATCTGCATACGGATAATCAATTGCAAGGACGATTTTTGTTTAAAACTGATAAAAATATAATTGATTATATTATATACCAAATTGTATTATATAAATTATATAATAATTATGACATCGTATATCCATTAATTTTAATAATTGGTTGTTAAAATTGAAATGTTTTAATGTTCTATCACTTGATTATAATTTTTGCAGTTTATGCAGAAAAACGGCTCTTGAAGCTTTAACGTTCGAAACAATAAAATAATTTCAAGGAAACGAATTAGTTGGTGACTCTAGGTCAAAAATAATTTAAAATATACAACGTAATAATTTACAATTTTACAAGATCTATAATTTTATTTTTATTTATTTATCATGGACGACGTTTACTTAAAAAAAAAATAATGATTATAATTTTGAATAGGAATTTTAAAATAATAAAATAACTTACGATTGGTAAGTTGATCGAATATTTTAATAACAAATGAAAAATATTTACGGTACGAATAAATGATTTCAAAACAGTCAACGGAATATCGTACGTATGTATTTTTACGAAAATTAGGTATGTATTAAAAATTGTGAGAGGCTATATAAAAGATAATAAGTTTTGGAGCATTGATGATTTTTTAACTTTATTTTAAACATATTTTTTTATTACAAATAACGAAGATATTTTAATCTTTGCTTAAAAATAATAAATTTTAAATATCAAATTTATAAAAATAATAAAAATATTTTACAAAAATTATTAGAAACATAAAAAAAGCTCGATAATTTATAAAGCACAATAAGTATGATAACACCGTCAACCTTTTCTTAAATAATTAATTAATAAATATATTATATTATCAAAACATAATATTTATTTAGATTATAGAATTTGAATAAAATATAATAGGTTTATTTATTTTAAAAGTGAATTGAGAATCGAAGTGTGGTCAATAAGTGATAAGATGAAATCTGAGCGAGGTCAAGGAACTCTTGGTGTACAACAGACTCACTGAGTTTATTTGAAATTAATTCAGAATAGTTCTAGAGTTCATATATAACTAATCGGAATAGTTTATATAACAATACTATAAATATACATCTAAAAGAAAAATTATAGAAAGAAAAAATGAATATATTTTTTAACGTAATATGTTTCGTAGGTATTTAATTATAAGGTAATAGAACCTAAATAGAATTTTACAGTATTATAAATGGAGAACATACAAGAAATAATTATAAAATTCAAGAAACTAAAAAAATATACAATATGTATTTATATTTTATGTAAATGACTGGTGTCAAGAGGAACCCTCGGAAACAATGGAATGCATTATTTCATAAATTACATTAAAAAGAAAAAAAAATTAAACAATCATTATTCAAATCAACATTGAATCAAGAATGAAAAATAATATATTGTTATTAATTTAAAAAAAAAATTGTCACACAAAATAAATTCTTCAAAAGATAAAATATTTTATTCTGTTTATTTTATTTTTTTTAAACTGACACCACAAATGAAACGAAACACAAATCGATAGAAAAAATAACACAATTTCGCTCATTTTCCGCAACAGTGTCATTACTCAAAATTTATGAAACTTCAGAAAATGCATATATAGTTTTAAATTCTGTTTTGCTTTCAACATATTAAAGTGCTACCATGGTAAATATCTATACAAGCTAATATCCTGCTTTATATCCTTATTTAAATTTTAATTGTGTTACACGATAAGGGAGTAGATTTTAACAAATAAAAATACCATTCTAAAAGTCAAACAATAAAAAAAAAAAAATATTGCACGATTTGTCTTTACTGCTAGAAAACAGATTTATAGTAGTTAAAATTGTCTCATCTCAGTATTAATTGAAAAATCATTATTTTCTGCTTATGATGTAGTTGCGAAAAAAATGAGTGATTTTACATGTTTTACACAATTTTTAATTGTTTTAGGAGCAAGTAAAAAATCGATGAAATATAATTTTAATTTTAATTTTAATATTAATTAATGTTAAAGAATAAAGGGAATAATAAAAATAACACAATTGAATTTGTCAATTATCGTTTATTATTTTTTTTTTTTTAGTATATTGAATTACTTCTTTTTGGAAAATATTCCTATTATAAGGAAATGCAAGTGAAAGTATGATGTCTATCAACAATAATAAAAATCTTTTTTTTTGTTAATTTTCAATTAATATTCAAAATTTACAATATTTATGAGAGACAATAGCAATGAAATTAGCTTTTTAGATCAATATAAACTTGAAACAACGATGATTGACAAAAGCAAAAGTTTTTTAAATAAAAGTTCCATCGCGTTTCATCATAACCGAGTGATGGTTCTTCAATTAGTACCGGTGCACAATCATGACGTCCGAGAATTTTGATTGGAAATGGTTTGACGATTGGGAAATAGAAGCTATGATATTGTTTATTGTTCTTTTTGATACTACTTAAATACATATCGAGTATATTATATATTTAAAAATCTATATTTTACTTAGTAATATGTAAAATTCCACTAAAATATAAAATATTTAATTTTTGTGCTATAAACAGAGCCCAGACTTTTATGCAGTTGCACATCTTTAGGAATTTGAGTACTAAGATGCAATTAGCAATATTTTACAATAAAAATCTAAAATTGCATATTTTAATTGCTTTAATTAAATTAAAATAAAGTAAAGAAATAAATAACTAAAATGCTACATTGAAGAAGAAATTCCACACAGTCGGAGGCTTAATTTTCAACTAAAAAAAAGAATTAATTCTACCTTCTATCATTTACACATTATAATAAATATTTTTATACTTCACGTTTTACTAGCTGTAATATTTATTATAATTTTAAATACCAAAAGTAAATTCACCTTCCAAACCGAAATATTAAAACTATCTTTAAACTACCAAAGACGAACTATTTTTAAAACTCAAGGAAAAGTTGTTTTTCCCATTTAATTTTTAAAAAAATTAATCTACAATTTTTGGTAGATATTATCTGCTATTACGCTTGCAGATTTTATAAAAAAATTTGTTTTTTTCAGAAACGAATTTATAAAATCATTATTTAATTTTAAAACAGAACATGCTACTTATTACTTCGTTTACGTTTTATTTATTTTGTTCGATTTCTTAGTCAATTTTAATTACAATAATATTATTTTATTACTAGTTTCATTTGTTTATGAAAAAAAAGAAAATACAAAAAAAATATATTATTTTTTATTAATTTATATACTTCCCTCAGATATCGTTTTTAAATCAGAAATGTTTAAATGCACTTTAGACTAATTATAAATGGCAAAAGTAAGTGCATCATTTTCTTACAAACTGAAAAATTAAATAGACATTTACAACAACTAAGATGAACGGTTTTTTAAACTCATGGAATGTTATTTTTGGCATCTGTTGTTTAAAGAAAGTATTCGATAATTTTATGTGGTTATTTTCTCCGAATTTTATTCATGAAAAAAAGGAAATACAAAGAAATTTATATAGTTTTTATTTAATCTTTATACTTCCCTCTGATCATTTTATGTAATTAAATGTTTTAGCTGTATAATTGTATATTTTTTGTATTTATATAGTTCAGGTTATCAATTCATTTGAAATTCTAATAATTTTCTTTTACTACTAATTTTATTGGTTCGTGAAAAAAGGAAATAGAAAAACAAATATCATTTTATGTATTTTTTAAACCTTTCTAAGATTTCTTTTTGAATACAGAAATATTTTAAGGTACTTAATTGTAATGAAATATGCTGTATTAATGTATACTTGGATACATTTTTATGCATATTTTATGTTTTTTTATTTTATATTACGTGGCATATTTTGCAGAGTTATATTGTTTAAAATTTATATGGTCCATTTCGTCAATTAATTGTCAATTCCAATAATTTTCTTTTACTAATAATTGTGTTGGTTCATAAAAAAAAATACTATTTTTTGTTTTATTTTTAAACTTTACAATTTCTTTTCTAACACTGAAATGTTTTAAGGTACTTGATTGTAATGATATGTCTTGTATTAGTTCATACTTGGATAATTTTTTCTGTAGTTTTTTTCTGAATATTGACAAAAAAAAAAAAATTAATTCATTGTAATGGATTGAGAGTTATATAAAGGTTTGCCTATAGTTCCTAAAATAATATTTCTAATATTACAAAATTCAAATTGAAATGACCTTGGATGGTAATATAGGACTGTAATATCTCACCGCGATGGTACAATACAATACAAGAATAACTGTGCAACAGTATTGAGACGTTGCGGTTTAGTCTGGCATATTAAGGCACAATCGATTCCACATGATTTAGCGAGTGTAATAGAAACGGAGTACAATATGGTTTAGTCTGTGGGGCCCAAGTATGGGAGTTGGCTTGTATTTCACACGGGTTTAAAGATTTTTAAAGCGGTAGTTATGTGAAGAAAAAAAATAAATAAATGAGATAATAAGAAATACAGAATTAAAGGATCGATTTTCGTGTGACAATTTTTTTTTTTTTAATTTTTATATATGTTGCAAATATGAGACCTACCTGCGTGAGGGCCGGGCCCGACAGCCGACGGAAGACATGAAGAAGAGAGCCTGATGTCGGAGGACGAAGGAGAGAAGAAACGACGAGGAAGAAAAAGATACGATAACTACGGATCCGATACAGACAGAGACAGAGAGAACAGAACAGAGTCTGTACCCGACCGAAGCAGCCGAGCGACTGGGCAACGCCCCGCGCCCCCCACCACTCCCCTCCCTGTCACAATATATATCTATATACCGGGGCTTAGCCACTACCTGTGTCTCTCTGCTCCTGTTTGTTTATTTATGTTAACTGTGCTAAATACATCGAAATAGAAAGTTCAGGCAGCTAGTGTGCACAGATACCCATATGCCTATATATAAGTATAGACATGAAAACGGTCAATACGAACTCAGTTTCACGTAATTATAAAAAAAAGTATTATACATTGCAACCAAGAATAAGGAAACTTAGAAAAAAAAAAAGCTCTATTCTCTTTTGTTTCCTGTCCCTGATTATTAATTTTAGCATGTGCATGTGCTCTTACATCTTATATCTCTTGTATCTTGACTATCTTTTCTTGATGTGTTTAGATGTGGCATGCCATACTATTGTATATAGAATAAGTATCTATTTTGTTATTTTTATTATCTTAAATGTCTTCTTATTTATCTTTAATTGTATATAGTAATTATGTTTAAATTATCTTTTTTTTATTGTATAATATTTCTTTTTATTGTACATAGTATTAATTCTGTAAATAGATCTTTTAACCTTGTTTGCTGCTTTATAAAAATATCCAACCTAACCCTTCTCACCTGAGCTAGCATGGTAGAATAAATGATTAATCATGGCCAAGTAATAGATAAGTAACATATATTCTCTATAATTATCTCTTTAGAGATGAAAGGCTAGTAAAGCCAGGCGCCCAACAAGTAAAGATTCCGATATAAAATTATATTTATTAAAAAACTCAGATATATATATATATATATATATATATATGGTTATAATATAAATATTTTTTTAAATACCTGACTACATAAATAACCCTAGATTCTTAAGTGTGTTACATTACTGTGTACAGGTCTGTAATAGGTTATTTTATGAAATTATTTTTATGCAAAACAACCTTATTTAGGTTATTAATTTTTTGTGAGATTTTTTAATAATCATTATATTTAATCTATATATGATTATTTATTTATCAAAACCCTTATTAATCTCATATTATTTTATTATACATTTAAAAATTATTATTTTTTAACGTTTCGGCTCCAAGAACCATTCGCAAAAATCTTTTTCTTTAAAAAAAAAAACAGAACAAAACATTAGTTCTATGAAAACATTATTTCTAAATTTTTAAAATATATATATATATATATATATATATATATATATATATATATAATACTAATAGTTTCGCCCATTGTATATTACTTTTATCTTTCTTAATTATTTTTTACTTCTATTTTGATTTTTTATAATTAATTTCCTTTCTTATGAACATATTGTGTGAATAAATACTATAGCTCTAATACCAATGCCTTTCAGTGTGACTGTTTTAATAACCAATAAAATCATTAAAAAAAAAAGTTTACCCAAATGCGAGACCAAGACGAGTCTTCGTTTAAGTAGTAGATCGACAAACTTTGTCTATCTAATAAGGTACTAAAAACTTGTTACTACCCATTTTCTTTTCACTTGGATAGTAAGATAATTTATAAAGTAAAATTTTAAACAATGTCATTGCCTTGATTCGGTGGATTTTACATACTTTCTCAAACTTTAGATTATGTGAAGACAGATACTAACATGGTATTAAAGACAACTTAATTATACGATAATATACCCATTTAATTAAAATCGTTGGAGGCGTTTTTTTAGAAAATTTTAAAAATGTGCTTAACCATTGATATAAACTGAAACCTTCGGTTAACCGATTTTAAGGACCGATGCACTTTGCATGACCAACACTAGGAATGGTAAAAAGAAAATAAATTTTTAAAATAAAAATTAAGTCAAAATAGTTACTGATACTTGAAAATTTTAGTTACTATGTACGATATGTAAAGAATTGGTATAACCAATATACTTTTCTATTTAACTCCTCTAATTTTTCATTCGGGTTTAGTTAGGTTTCTCCTATCTAAAAAAATACAGTGATATCTGTATAGTAAAAAGCTAATAAGTAACTTCAAGACTGTTGCGAGACTCTTGCTCAAGACCAAGACTGAGTTTGCAAGACCAAGACTCGTCTCGGTCTCGCATTTGGGCAACACTAAAAAAAATACTGTGAAACGTAAGACACTATCCATAAATTATTACATTTTTAAATTTAGATATTAGTTTACATTTACAATATTATTAACCCTTTAAGAAAATAAGAACTAAGCTTCTGATTTAGCAGAGGATATATAATGCAGTAGTCAGGGGACCTAGCGCAGTCCCATATGGTTTTCCTCTTAACCACAGACCATCATCCCCAACCCCAGACCTCCTAATACCCAGTCTTGGTTTAGCTGTAGGCTTAATTATATTTTATATTTAATATAAATAATTTATGAATAAATTAACATTATTAATTAACAAATATTAAAAAAAAAACTCCCCCTATTCACTATGGAGGGTCTTGGGTTCATTTAGTACTTTGATAGGAATAGTGTTGTTCAAAATAGGTCTTCACCTTGAGTGAACGCACCAATTATGGACAGGGGGCTTAGTGATGCACAGGTAGGACTTTAAATATAAATAATGAGCTTCCTAATTAATTTAAAGGTTAGAGTTTTTTCTATATTAAAGAAAAATTCCCTCTATTGACAACTGTATGGACGAAGTTCCCAAAAGAAAATTTTAAAATACTTATCATTGTTGTTTCTATAGCGCTCTTGAGATCAATGCTTTTTATAACTTTTTACTAACAGTTTTACTAAGAGTAAGTTGAGCATTTATATTATCTTGTCTTTACATTTATCTTTATAGTTAAATAAAGATTTTTGAAGTTTTCATAAGTATGTTCATTACTGGTACCGACACCCTGTCTGTTACTAGAAAATCGAATTTCTGTGTGTCCATCACTAATGCAAAAGGGTGTTTTTTTTCTTAAATAGAGATTATACATGCATAAATGAATATGTTTTTTTTATTTCAAAGTGTTAAATAGAAAAATGAGACCCTAGAAATTCTAAATGACCAACGGAGAAGTTTATAACTATGATAATTACGGCTGCATAAGTAAAAAAAGACTAAAGTTTCCTTAGATATGTCCATCACTGGTGAAAATACTTTAATTGTTGCAAGAGCAAAACTGGTAAAAAAACAGCGTTTTTGTGAATAACATGATAGCGAAATAGTTACCAATACTAAAAAAAATTAGTTACGGTGTGTAACGAATCGGTATTTTTTTTTTTTTTTAAGGAGATTTTTTTATTGGGATATATTACAATCTGTCACATTCAAAGACAATATTAATAGTGATAAAGAGTAGCTCATTCAAACCATACACAATAAATAAAAATAATAAACAGCAATATAATACTCCTAAAAGTAAATGTATATAAACTAAAAGATACTAAACTAAAACAAAATAAACTAATCTAACAAAATAAATACTTAAATACACATATCCGAGCCAAGCCTTTCCCCGAACTCGTGGAGGGAAAGGCAGGACTCTAAGAGATCCCAGCGTCTTTCACTCAGCCGCATCACTGGTATTACAATGGAGGCTGAGCAGAGACACTATAAATCGGTATAACCATGACTATTTAATGTAATTCCTCCAATTTTTCATTCCGGATTTAGTTATATTTACCGACTTTGAAAAATGATAGTAATTTCTCTATAGGATATAACATTTTTAAAAGGTTATCAGAGAAAATTATAAAAAAATCGTCTGAATGAGACCAGTAGAATTACAGTGTATTGAATTTTATACACTCATTTTAATAATTGTTCAGTTGCCCGTTTAGATTGCTTTAGTTTATCAATTAAATCGTACTCTAATGATTTCTGTGATAGATTATTAGGAAAATTAGTCTAATTTAATTGAGTTATATCTAATGAACATATTTAAAATTGAATAAAACTTGTTAAAAATCGGTAGGAAAATCATGTGAGTGGACCTACCAGATTTTTATTTAAATAATTAGTGACATTGTATAGATTTATTTTAGTTTTAGTTTAGTTTAGTCATAACTGTTTCTAAGATGGGAGTTACATGTTCTAGTCCAAACAAGTTTTTAAGGAATGCACTTATAAATAAGTACTGTTGCTATAAAAATAGTAAAAGCACTTCAAAAATGAAATAAAAAAAATATGCAGTAGTACGTGGTACAGAACTCTTTCTATTAAATTATTAACATCCGTCTCAAAACTTCGTGAATGACTCCTTCTTATTGTAGCGTAAAACTTTTTTATTTGCGAAAATTGAGCTACAAAAAAACTCACTTGCTTTCCACTTGAACCATAAGATAATTTTATCAAAATATCGAGTATGGTCTTGATAAATATTCTTGCTTTAGACTTATAAAAACTAGCTATTTTCACATGCTGGAGGAGGTCACGTCAAACGGTCCGTTATTTTTGTAGGTCATTTTCGTAGGTTATTGTTGTCGATTTCGTGCTCAAATTATCTTACGATTCAAGCGAAAAGCAAAAAGGTGCTCATGAGTTTTTACCTGATTAAATAGGCAAAGTTTAACAATTGAAAAGCTCCATCTTCGAGATTTTATCGCAAATAATAAAGTCGTAGGTTACAACTAGATAAAGCCATTTACAAAGTTTCAGATGGTTTGTATTCAAGTTAAAAATTTGGTGAAAAGAGGTCTGTACTCCCGTATACAATACTAACATGAAAACTTTCCAAGAGGCTAGAATAATTGTAATAACTAACTGTTAAATAATTCTCATTGTACGTTATCACTCCAACTAAACTTCATAGTTAATAAAGCTTTACATTCATACATACAATAAATGTTTTCATCCAAAACTAAACAAGTATTAAGAGTTTTAAAACAGACTTATCTCATTTATTTATTTTTTAATATATGTTTTTTTGTAAATTTCAGGACGAT